GTTGCCCTAACAGCAACCACCTGACACATCCTTGTGTCAGGTGGTCCAGTCAACCAAATCCATGCTTTCATTACAGCCATGGTGTACACAGCCCAACACCTTTGGCATTTATCAACAGTATGTTGTGAAACTGCTTTCAATACCTGATCTGCAACAGGATTGTGAAGGCTTACTTGCTGGGGACATTGAATCTGCATTATCAGGGGGGCCCACCTGACACATAGCACCCTTGGCCCAACTGCAAGGCCTCTTTTGGTTGCTCATCACTGGTTCAATGGTCAATTGAAGTCATTGGCTGACCTTGAGCAATTATTTTCACTGTTCTGAGTGCCTGGTTTTGATGGCACCAAGCTTGCACATGTCAAGTGGCATGCCTGCTTCAACAAACTCAATGCACTGCCTGCCTCCTATGGTCCTTTCCATTATGGTCCAGATTGGAAAAGCAAGCCACTTTGCCTTTTGGTGCCCCTGGGAGGGGCTTTGGGGAATTGGAATTATGTCCTAAGCAGGTTCTGATATTGTGACTTGACACAACTCACCAAAGATGTGGTTATGAATGACCGTCAATCTGGTGGCTTTTATTGGGAGCCTTTCAAGCTGTGGCAACAATTGAAGGCCTCTCCTTCTGAACCCCAGTGCCTGTTTGGCAAGGGGTTTACCAGAGACTACATGTTGAATGAATGTCAGCAGCTCCTTCACAGCCCTGTCAAGCCCAATTGCACTTTACCTCAGGCCATACTGGGGTTTTGCTTCTGGTCAGATGTGACTCAAGCTACTCAGTTTGGCCATTCTTACTTGTGGCCCAGCTATGCCATGTTTGTCAATCAGTCAGTGCACAAACATTGTAGTCCTATGTCAGGTGCCTGCCATCACTTTGCCCATTTTCTGACCATGAGCTCTCTGTGTCTGGGGGCTGGTTCCTACAGCTGACATACATGCTCAGCTTCCTCATCAGTTCAGTGAAGCATTCTATGCAAGAAGTGGCCACGCCCCCAATGCTTGTTTGCTTTCCCACATGAAGAGCATAATCATGCATGCAGCTTGGAGAACCCTTCTGAATTGTGAATTTGTTGAAGCATACCAGCATGGAATACCCATGCTGTGTGCTGATAGGCATCAGTGCCATGTATACTTTTGGATATTCACATACTGTGCTGACTACCCAGAAAAGTGTGTGTCAGGTGCCACAGATGGTGCTCAGCCTCACTCAAAATCCACAGGATGCTAATAGCCACCATCTGTACTCTGGGAGAGATGCCTTGTACATGATGTACAATGGGAACAAATGAAGTGTACCAAATGGGCTCAGAGTTGGACTGCCTTTTCCAGACTACCAATCAGCAAGTGGACACTACAGCTCACCAATTTGATGTACAGTTGGCATACAATGCTATATACAAGGATGGACATGGGGATTCTTCCACCAGGGTTGAGAACATCCTCAAATCTCAGTCCTATATCTCAATTCCAGTATGCATGATTCCACCTGACACATGCTGCTCTCTCATCATGGATAACCACAGAATGCCTTCAGCATCCTCCAACCACATGGTTTCAATGTGTATGATATGCTCCCCATTGATCTTATGCATGAGGTTGAGCTTGGCATCTGGAAATCATTGTTGGAGCACCTCATTTGGCTCCTGCACACCCTTGGGTCAGGCCCCATTCTCTTACTCAACTACTGCTTCTGCCACATGCTGAGCTTTGGAAGGGGCACCATCCATCCATTCAACTCTCATGGGGTTTCCAAGTTATCCTGGCTAGCCGCCAGAGATTATGAGGACCTCTTGCAGGTATGGCAGATCTCACCTGACACAACATCACACCTGACACTCCTCTATAGTGTGCCATTCCAGCCTTTGAGGGGCTCTTTCCTGAACCAGACAATCAGCTAATTATTTCTGTGCTGTACACTCTGGCCCTCTTTCACTGCCTCAGAAAGATGTGAATTCATGGTACAGATACTCTGGAGTTACTAGATGAGGTGACCACCTGGTTGGGCAATGTAATGCAGAGATTCCAATGGGAAACTTGTGTCAAGTATAGTGTGCCCACTCCCAATGACACCAGTTGTGATGCCAATGTTACCATTGAGGAAACCACTTTGAAGAGCATGCAGAAACACAAGTTTCAACAATCTGGCAACAAAGAGTCCCTTCAGGCTGGCGTGTCAGGTGTCCTTCGGGCTCCTGGTCAAGCAGCCAGTGTCCCCACCACTTTCAGTCTGCAGACTCCAAAATGGCACTTTATGGGTGATTATACTGCCTGTATCAGAAGGCTGGGTACAACAAACAATTTCTCCACAGACCCGGTAAGGCCCTTTCCTTGTGTCAAGTGACCTGTGATGCTGAATTGTATCAGGGCAAACTATCTCATTGGCAGGTCAAAGAGTACTACAGAAGGGCCAGCAAGATTGACTATGTGGAGAAGGTCTCCAAAGTGGAGTGCTGCATTGGGAAGATGGAGTGCACGGCCCAGTACTTGAGTGCAGAACAGCTGCCAATGGAGGCACCTTCCAATGAGAATCTAGTTGGCATGGGAGACCCTGCAACAAGTTATCATATGGCATCTACAAGCCATGCCTGGTCTCTTATCAGTGGATGGGAGCTGGAAGATCCCAATGATTGGTCATGTCAGGTGAGGTTCACCTGACACTTTGCATGACATTGCCATTGCTCATATTTACACAGCAGTTCTCCCAGTGTCTCAAGAACTATCTTCTGTTGCAAATCACTGGGAAGGCTCATGACAGTCCCATAGAAGACTTTTTGATGGAGGAAAGGGCGGAATTGTTGATCTTGCAAAACTGAATACACTGGCATATGGTGTGCTGCATCAACTACACAACATATGATGTGCGGCATGCTCAAGATACCATCCATGTGGGCAAGGGGCAGTGCGATATCATGCTTCTCTCTGGGGAAGATTCCATGGACTCCCATCCTTACTGGTATGCCCAAATGGTATGCATCTTTCATGTCAACTTGACACACCAACCCACCAACATTTGTACACCTCAATGGCATGATGTACTCTTGGTCAGGTGGCTAGCACAAGAGGACACTGACTCAACTGGCTCTCAGCTTTTCCAGCCACTGGATCAAGTGAGCTGGGTGTCTGGAGACAATGAGGATGCATATGGCTTTGTGGACCCATCCTCAGTCATCCACTCATGCCACTTGGTACCATGTTTCCACAGCAGCCCTGATGATGTTTCTGCATCAGAGGTGACTCTTCTGAAGAGGAAACAAGCTGATGTGCATATGGACTGGAAGGCCTATTATGTGATGAGGTGAGCATGCCTTGCTTCCACCTGACACTGGGCTGAGAACTGGAAGCAGGTTTGTTGACTGTGACATGGCCATGTGTTATCTGGGGGGGGGGGCAGGTCATCTGTACCCTGAGCTGTCTTTTCTAACCTTGAAGAACATGTGGAATTAGAGGAAGCACTCCATGTTTCCTCAAGACATCTCACCTGACACAGGGAATGGCAAAGTGTCAGGTGACCTGATGCTGCAGGATGACAAGTTTGAATCAGAAGATGATTCCCCCCCAGCAGACCATGGCCCTGGTGGGTACAACTACTGAAGGTACACAAAGCAACATCAGGCATTTCCGGGGTTGCTGAGAGATCCTAGTCTTGTCTTGTGGGCCAAGGTAGGGCACCTGGCAAGAAGAAGGTGCTTGAGGTGCACATTGATAAGGGCATGAAGGGTGGTAAAATGATCAGGCACCAGAGATGATACCCAGAGATGTTGTCATCATGCATAGATTGGAAGAGACCCAGGCCTGCCCAATCCACCCCAATATCAATGTTCAGGTGTGTAACTTAGAGCCACCCCTTCAGTTTCCATGTCACTCATACTGCAATAATTAGAAAAGCCAGGGAGTGTCACCTGGACCAGTGCTAGGAATGCAAACCCAGGCTGCATGTGCTGTGTCAGGTGCACTAAACATTGTATGAACCAACTAAGAGTGTCAGGTGAATTAATGTAACATAGTGGATTCATGGTGAGTCACTCATTTGATTAATGCCTGAATGCAATAACCTGACAATGAGCTAGTCTGACAACCAGCTCTGTGTCAGGTAAGGGTCCTGAGAAGCACAACCAGCAGTGTGTGAGGTAAGGGTCCCAAGAAGCACAACTGGGCCTGTGTGTGAGGTAAGGGTCCTAAGAAGCACCAGTAGGCCTCTTGGGACCCTGAATTGTGGTTCTCCTGATAATGAGAAGGCCAGATGCATTCGGAAGCCAACTGGACCCTGACAGAAGCATTCACGCCCTCTTTTTATGTGGTCTGATCAACTCTAACCACACCTAAGGCCAGCTTAGGCCACCTGATGCCACCTGCTGCCACCACCCCCTCCACTCTGCTTGCTCTCTGCTCAACTTCAAACATATCCTTTTAACAGCAAACCACCAACAATGCTCAACCCTGCCCCCTATCAGCATCTAAGAAAATGTAAGTACTTTCTCTTGTGTCAAGTGGAATGTACCTGACACATGCATACAGACAAGGTCACAGAGGCAACCTTGCAGTATGGTATGGCTCACACTTGTGAGCCATACCATGTCTTTCACTGCAATGAGGGGTGGGAGGAGGTGCCACCCAATGATGCCATTGGGAGGCTTGGGGACCTCTATGTCAAGGATGGGCCGGGGAAGGCGCTGCACACCTTTGCCAAGGTGGAAGTAGAGGGGGAAGGAAGGAGGTGTCGAGTAGTGGGTTGTCTGCCCTGATCTCAACTCCAAGGCGCCTGGACACCAGTCTCTGGTGCATCATCCAGTGCACAAGAGTCTGGTGCTCCTGGAGAGGGATGGAGTGGTGGGATGGGTGAGCAGCAGCTCTGTGTGCATGGCATGCTCCAGTAAGTCCTTTTCACTTGACATATCATATTAACTAATACATTATTTGCAGGCACATCTAAAGGCAAAGCCGAGCACATCCAGGCTGGCTGCATCAAGTAGCCCCATGAGGGCCCCAACAGGCTTGGCTGTGTCAGGTTGGAAGCAGTGCTGCTCTCCTGCTGGGCCAAAGAACTCAAGCCTGATCAAGGGCAAGGGGAAGGGGAAGGGGAAAGGGAAGGGGAAGTGGAAGGACAAGGGAAAGGCCTTGTTTACCAGTAAGTCCTACTCATAAAGGGTCAAGTCATTAAGGCAGCTGCCTAACTCCTGTGTCAGGTACATTTTTTGTGGAGAGGGAGGATGGTGAGTCCATGCTTACCAACTGGGAAATATCAGGCATACTAACTCTTGGCTTAGGAGTATTGTAAATTCGAGACTCTGATGAAGAAGATGAGCTTGACAGCAGGTTCGAGTCAGAGGAGAGGGAGGAGTCCTTGTTGCTGCCTCCCAAGAGGCAAAGGGTAAGGGTGGAGTGGCTGCACACATGGGCTGTGGAAGGGATTGGATCTTCCCAGGGAACAAGTAAGTACCCACCTGACACAACAAATGAAGAAGCTAACTGTGAGGTCAGGCATCAATAATGGGGAGATCTTCGGCCTGGGGGAGGAGAAGGTCATGGAGCAGGACCTCTCCTATGAGATTGAGGAGAGGATGGAGCTGCACTGGGCATATATGCAAGTGCTGGAGACTGTGGAAGAGCTGGAGGAGGAGCAGCATGAGCTGCAAGAGGAGATTTGGGTAGAGGTGGGAGAGGTGGAGGTGCAGGTGGGCCTGAGGTACCAGACAGGTAAGTGTCAAGTGTTAACCTGGTCCAGATCAACTACTAATCATCTTATCTTCACTTGACACAGATACTGTTGCCTCTCTGCCAATGGTATGAGCTCCATTTTTAAACAAGGCAGCTGCTACCAAGATGCTTGAGCTCTCAAGAGTGAGGGGAGAAGCAGAGAGCTTTGATCCCACCTTTGGTGCAGGTAAGTTGTGAGGGAACCAATGAGGAATCGACCTGACACAGCTGCGTAGATGGACAATCAATGCTCAACAAGCATTGGGAGAAGACAGAGGGCTGGGAAGGGGGGGACATGGGTAGCCCCATACTTGGAGGTACATCTAATGTCAAGTGTCAAGTAACACAGTCTAAGTCCTTTTGCAGATTCCACTTCCTCTCATGATGGGCTGGCTGATCTGAGGGAGGAACCCCTCAATCCCATTGGTAAGTCTTGTATATACATTGCCCTAAATGTGCACCTGACACAAGGACAGATTTCTACTTCTCTGAGCCACATGACCCTTGCTTGAGCCATCTCACCTTGCCCTTGAGCAAGGTGTCAATACAGATGCATGCCAATATGGAGAAGTGGCAGAACACTTGGTTACTCTTGGCCTTCAGGGATTGGCTTGCCTGTGGGCACCTGGCTACTATGTCAGGTGCCTTTGGCTGCAAAGTCATCAAGGCTGCCATGTCTAGGGAAGCACACATCAAGCCCTTCCCTACCTTCAGCATCATGGCCTTCATCAAGAGCCCAGGTGTCTAACTGACCAAGTTCCTGGTGCTTCAAGGCTTCCTGGCATCACCTGACAAAGGGGTGACAGTCTCCATGGTCAAATCTACCATGGTTGGGGATGAAGTCCCCAAAGCCAAAGTCCTGCAGAGCTGGATCCACCATGGTGCCCAGGGGTTTAATCCCCATTCAAAGGTCCTATCCCACGGTGTGTTTGATATCCTGGCTTCCCCTCAAGGCATGGGAAAAATCAGCTTTGGTGTACCTGATGCAGTGCTTCAGGTGTTGGTGGATGTTCATCTGCCAACAAGAGATATCTATGTCTCTACATTGTTCATGGGGAAGGGAAGCCTGACACTTCCCCATATCAACCTCATATTCTGTCATGTCACAGAGCTTGCAGTGAGGCATGAGCTTGATGGTGTGCCTGACAAGCTCTGGTTCCTTGCCCTGCCAACCTCAAAGAACTTGGCCCTCCTATCAAGAACAGTTCAAGGCACCACAGGGCATGACTATGGAGCTCAGCTCATTGCTGAGCTTGAAGATCTTTACTGGGTCTGCCAGATGGATGACATAGGCTTCATCCTCCCTGCCAGCTGGATCCATTGTGTTCAGTCCTTTGCCATCTTGCTCCATACTGGCTTCAAGTTTGTCTGCAACCTTCACCAAGAAGAGGCTCACAAGTATATTCAATGGATCATTCAGCAACTGTCAAACATTGGAATGGAGAAGACTGGGCAGGAGATGATCAAGGTGTTGGAGGAGGACCTGGCACACTGGGCACATGTTAGGTCAGCGCAGGCATGGGTGAGAGAGGCCTGAAAGGAGCTGGCTGCTGCTAAAGGCAAGAAATTTTCTTATAATTAGCTCATTAATCTTGGAACTAGATACCCATTGGCTATTTTTTTTGTATATACTGTACATTAATTGATCTTGATAATTCACCTGACACAAGACCCTTCCACCTGACACAAGTCTGTTTCACCTGACACAAGACCCTTTCACTTGACACACATGGAGATGGCTTCCTGCAGTGATTCCCCAGAGCACCATGACCTGTCAAGGGGTATACTGGTCATCTGGGGGCATAATGGTATGCAATGATCATTTAATTTCATAATGGTACATACTGGTAACTAATGCTAAATATCTATACTGGTTCAGTGTTAGCATGATGGGCCCATGCTTATGAGCAATGGCCATGCCTGATGCAACCTGGTCAGGGTCCTCATGCCTGGACCTGGGCGAGCAGGCTGCGGACCTTTTCACCAGGCCGTGTCATGGGTCTGCATGACTGTAGATGAATATATGTGCAGAAGTTTGCTCAGGCAAACACCAAAGCACCCTATACATGACATCTCCATGAATAATGTGGCTTCTATACTCAAGAAAGGCCAACGTCTGGAGCAGCAAGTGATTGATCAGGGGGTGATAGAGAGCAGAGAGCAATGGTTTTGCTTGGTGCTTTGCATGCTAGTAGATGTTTTCTGTCATGTGCCTTGACATCCTGACTTTACAAAAGCCAAGGGTGTTTGAGAACCTCCTGGGCTCCCCTCAGTTGTATGGTGGAGATGCCCATGCAAATGTGTGTTATCTTAGGTGATATACCATCTCATTTGGTTCTTGAAGGAAAACATGCTGTATGTTGTTCAGGAGCCTGGTACATGCCTAAAGACCCTCTTGGCAAGGCTGGTGCATGTATGACTTAAAAACTGGCAACTAGAAGCTGAAAGGGGTCCATATTGATATGGACTTTTGTTTGTGCCAGTTCTTACAAGATTGTGGGCCCAAATGTACTTTGTTCTTTGCCAGAAAAGCTAGAGCTTTTTGCCAGCTTTTTGGAATGCATGTTGTGTCTTGTGCTGGAGAAACAGGCCACAGCCAAAGAGATGCTGAGCCATCCTTGGCTCAAAGAATAGACCATCACCTATGTTTGATCACACCTCATTTAGTTTACCCACACTACTCTACAATGTGGACCTGTTTACAACTCTAGAAAAGCAGATTAGAATGAAATCAGTGTATTTGTAGCAACAATGAAACAACACACCATTAGTTAAGTATAGTCAAAGATGACATCAGTATTGCAAGTGAATGTCTGGAAATTATGGCAGGATCTGTCCTCTTGTTTGACAAAATCTTCCATATGGATGATCACTTTTGTTATGCACTGTTTATGTTGTGGTGGCAGGTGACTAAGGATGCGGGTCTGGGCGAGACCCCAATATGGTTGCACCGCATTCAGGCACGGCACTTGCACATGCAGCCCTGAAACTAGTGCCTTGAAGTTGAACGAGCTTGAATTTGCCATGACATCCTTGATTCCTCGACTGCTCTCGGTGGCCCGACGCTCTGTCCGAGGAATTTTTGGATCGCAACCTTTGATCCCGCCATGGCTCGTAGCAGAAGAGCCGCTAGACACATATAAACAGGGCGGTTTTCTTCCGCTGCATCTTGGCGATGTTCTTCATGACGGTCGATACCGTGTAGTGACCAAACTAGGTTAGGGGACAGAAGGAATGGTTTGGCTCGCATATGATAACAAGTAAGTGCAAGCAATGTACACATGTCAGCCAGTGCTGAGAAAGGCTCTTGGCAGAGATGCAAGACATGTAGCACTCAAGATCTTCGCTGCCCGGACACATGTGAAGGAATACGAGAGACTCATAGATTTATACGCAATGTTCAACGAGAAGAACACCCAAGGGCAAGCTGATCATATTGCGAGGCTTTTACATCACTTTGAGCACTCCGTCGGACCGAGCGGCACTCATTTCTGTGTTGTGTCTGAGGTACTTGGACCAGATCTCTACAGCCTACTCAGGTCACGAAAGTGGCAAAACCTTCCGGAAGAATCAATTAAAACAGTCGCTCGGCAATTACTTCAAACTCTTGATTTTCTGCACACAGACTGTCGCGTAGTCCATGCTAGTGAGTCTTGCTGTACGAATGACGCAGTGCCTGATGGTGATCCAGATCTCAAGGCAACAAACATCCTTCTTTCCATCAAAGCAATTGATGAGGATATTGAATCTGAGCTTGCGCAGAACCCGACGGAATTATACTATCTCCCTGAATCGGAATCCCATTCCTCCATCACGGATGCACACCTTCCACGATACATTGTCCGAAGCCACCGGCCTTCTTTTGGTACTCACTCTGTGGACATTGAAGCTCTTCAAATCAAACTCATAGATTTCACATGCAGTAAGTGTGGAAGTTGCTGGTAGCATAGACCAGCACTCATGGAGTGTGTAGCCCAGAAGCTGGACACGACGTCCCAGGTACCGACAATAGAGCCCACGGGCCTCTGGGCACCTGAGGTTATTGTTGGGTATCGCTGGACTGAGGCCGCAGAGATCTGGACCGCTGCGCTGGTCGTGTGTTGTCTAAGCCTTGTACTTGCACGTTCAACCTGACCATATTCTGTAGATCTACACTGCCTGGATGGGAACAGAGGTTATCGACGCGTCTGCGGGGGCAAAAAGAAGCCCTCGCTTCAGCGGCGAGCTTGGTGCAAATGATTATCCTCCTGGGTGATATTCCGCCTCGCTTGATCAGCGAAGGCAAACGAGCTGAAAACTACTTTTCGCAAAACAGCAGTGAGTGCTCCTAGACACCACTGGATAGCGGTGAAACCTGACACAAGCATGCATAGAAACTGGGAAATGGCAACTCAAAGGGGCAATAATTGATATCAAAGACTTTCGCTCGCGACGATTCTTACAAGAGCGCGGACCCGACATTGTTCGATTTTCGCCAGAGAAACGGGAGCTTTTTGCGGCGTTCCTAGAGCGCACGCTATGCCTCGTTCCGGAGGATCGTGCTACAGCCAAAGAAATGCTGAATCATCCATGGCTCCAGCAGTAGAGAAGCCACGATGTTCTCTCTCCTATCTACCACCACTCCATTCCGCATCTGTGTACATTTCAGGAACGAGTCCTGCCCCACACCACTCAAACTTGGAGACAGCGCCATCTGGTAAGATATGCGTCGTGTAATATGCTTGTTGTTCTTGTCGCGGTCATAGTCGACCGTAATTCAACACTTGCCATCCTTCCGTCCTGGCGTGGTGTGAGAAGAGAGCTCGCCCCGGCGAGTCTTTATTCCCAGCAATATGGCCCTCCTCCTGCAGTCGGTTGAACAGCAGTCGTTAATGCTCTTTGGGCCGGTCGCATGGGACGCGGTTCGGATTGAAGTTTCTCAGCATCCGTGGAAGTATTCGGGTGTTTGACTCATCAACGCTTGTTTCAGTTGAACCGCGTCTGCGACAACTCATACTCGTAGGGTTTTCCAATGCGAATCACTCCCGCCCTCTTCAAGAATATCAAATGTCACTTCGACCCGAGTTGGGCCCATAAGTTATGGGGTGCACAGTCTTGATAGCAACATTCGCCAAGTTTTGATGGACGAAGAGATCGTATACTCGGCCAGCATCCAGGATCAACTCATATTGACCATGCTCATCAAGCTTGCTGGTAGGGGACAGACGCTAGTTGATCGTGGTGCAGTCTCTGCCACAATCCAGTACGCCGCTTCACTGAACATTCCCCGCTCGCGCACTCACAGGCCTACTCTTTGCGTGGGCCAGTTGCATGCCTCGCAAGAGCTTGAAATCCGACCTAGAATACACGACCGTCAGCTTCTTCAGGGAGGACGATAGCTTTATCACAAAGGTTCATGTATTGCCAGATGCACGTATTTTCAGAGATGAGGATGAGTACGTGATGGGTTCGAACGGCGGATTGTCCCTGAATGACCTGACGAACAGATTATCCTCGGACGTGAAATTGCCGAAGGAATAAAGGTTAACTACGATGAGAGGTGTTGCATGTCGAAAGACTTGTCCTTGACGCTGAGGTATGCGCTGGCTGCGTTCGTCAGCCAGATGAAACATATCTCTGTAGGGGTTGTTTGAAGACAGGATTCCAGGAAAATGCCCAAAAATCCAACACTTTATATCACGTCCATAAATTACACACCTGTTTTTACCACTACACTACACTACACGGATGTTATGCTATGCTGCAAGACGACGCATAATGTTTCTTCCAGTTCTTTGCGTTTCCGTCTGCGCCGATAAAGTACGACAGGTGTAAGTCCTAGGATAACAATAGTAGGGGGCGGCCTTTTGAGGCGCCAGCTCGGTTGGTTGCGTACAGCGTAGAGAAAAGCAGAAGTGTGTGTCGTGTATGCCCTAAGAATGTCGAACCATGAGATAAGGAGATCGTGTCTGTCATAAAAGTCGTAAGAAGTTGTTCGTCTGAAGTGTCTTGTAGCGAAATAGTGTCGAATGCCTCAGCAGCGTTAGTATGCGAAGTCGCGCTTGATAAGCTTGTGCCTCTTTGCTTCCTCTTCCCTCAGCCTGCTCATGTCCTCCGGGCCATGCACCGAACTGCCTGTAGCGGAAGCCGCAACAGAGCTGCCCGCCCTCCCCTGCGGGTAGTACTGTCCCGTGCTGGTAGGAGCCGGACGTGCTCCATTAGCCCAGGGCGAGCTGGGAGGTGGGAAGAATAGAGTGATGGGAGGCTTCGAACTGGCCGACATGGAGGAACGACGGGATGCTGCCGATGCGGCGGAGGCAGGGGCGCTGGTCGTTGGGGGCCCAGACGAAGGGGGATGTTCGCGTGGCGCAGGGCCAGAAGCAGGTCGATCGGGATATTGCTCCCTCACAAGCCTGTCTGCGCTCTGTGCTGCCTCCCTCTTCGCGCGCTCCTTGTCCAGCCAGGCGAGGCCCTTGGTCTCCACGAGCTTCTCGATCTCTGCTGCTGCGAAAGCGGCGAGGAGTTCCCTAGCGAGGGAATGATGAGGCGCGTGCCCCTGTTGGCGGAGATTATCTTCCCACATGCGCATTGCTGCGAACCCAGCAGCAGCAGCGATGACTGTGGAAACAAACGTATATCAGAATCCAACTCGCATCAGCTAGAGTGGAGTGACTTACTCTCATACGTCAGATGGGCCCTCGGCTCCGCAGTAGATCTGACGTTCCCCATCCCTCCGCCTTGGCCGTAAACCAGCTCCCAGTCGCGCCGGCCCTCGTCATACAACCTGCTCCTCGGCACCGTAGCTCGTGACCGATAATCTTCTTCTCCCGACACACTCCGGGCACTTGAGCTGGGGAGAGAATACGTGCTCCTAGCAATGCTTGCCGGTGCGCTCTGCGTATACCCCGGGGCTACTGTTTGTCCCTGCGCTGGGGGTTGCAGATGCTGCGCCTGTGAGGAAGGTGGGCGATACGGGTTTCGCACGTCATATGCGACCGGGCGCGTAGGGTATACCGGTTCCGGCGATTGGTAGTTCGAGCCAGCGATGGAGGATGGCTGTGGATGGGTGGCCAGAGCAGGGTGGGTCTGGGTCTGTGGGGGGTGATAAGTAGGCGCAATTGTGCTAGAGGCTGAGGCAGCAGGAGCCGTGTATGGGGCCGTTGCGCGCACAGGCGCGTGATTGGTCGCATATCTCGGTTCCGGTCGTACGATATTGAGCAGCATGCCGTCCTGTCCGTTACGCGCGTGAGTCTGGAGTACGATCCCGTTCTGCTGTGGGGGTTGGCTGCGTGCTGGAGTAGAGTTTGGAGCAGGAGGGAGGAGAACAGTGGCGCGAGCGGGTGCTGTGCTGGCAGGTTGCTGCGTGGGCATCATGTGTCCAAACGCGTCACGCCCGTCCCTCGCCGCGCTCGCACCCTTCCACCTCCCCAGAGTGTCCGGCGTCTCGGGTTCGCCGTTGACGACCCTAAGTCTGCCTGGGCGATCCTCCTCTCTGCCATACCTGTGCACACTGGCGCTTCCGAATTTGAGCTCTACAGGCGAGCCGGAGGCATTGATCGTCTCCCGTCTCTCGATCGCCGTCATTGGAGGTGGGATGGTCAGCGGCGCGGGAGGGACAGCAGGGCGGGAACCGAAAGAGAATCGACGACGACGCTGTTGTTGTTGTTCCGGATCAGGTTGGAATGAGGGCTGGGCACCGAGAGAAGGGGTGGTAGCATGGCGCTTTTTAAGGACGCGGTGGGGAAAAGCGGTAAAGAAGGGGCGATGGGTATCCTCTGCGACTTGGGGAATAGGAGCGGGTACGGGGGTGCTGGTTGTGGGACGCATACGAGGTTGGGTAGTAGGAGGTAGGGCAGAGGCGTGTGAAGGATGGGGACGCGATTGAGGTAGAGGCTGGTCGAGAGAAATATACACAGGTTGCTGAGGTTGAGCAAGTGGGGCAGGCATGACTGCCCTCACTGGCCTCCTCGTCGGTGGACCCAACGGTCCTGCACTATCTCGCCTCTCCCTCTTCCCCTGCACCGTTGGGGGGGCAGCGCCAGTGCTCATCCTTCGCTCTCTTTCGGCACCGACGTACCAGCTCCCAGGCTGAGGGACCTGAGCCTGGATCGTCTGCTGAGGGGGAAAGGCGCGTAGCTGAGCCTGGGTTGGATAACGTCCTGGACCGGCCGTTCCGATGTCGAGTGGTGGGAGGGAAGAGATGGAGCGGGACGGGGCAGGAGCGAAAAGTGTTGAAGGCATTGGTGGTATAGGGGTGATGGGTGATGGGTGTTTAGGAGGTGGACGTGGTTGCGCGTGGAGGGTTTAAACTAGCGTGGTGGTGGCGGCAGATAAAAGATATCGTTACAGTCTAGTAATTTGTCGGTAGAATAGCGACGGTTGTAGGATGTCGACAGTAGTGAGGAGAGTTATGAACACTCGGTCCAAGGCGTCGTAATATCCTCCAAACGCGGTATGGCGCTGTTGAGCCAGGTATATGCGCGGCAACGAAGAAATTTCCAACGCGTCTAGACTTCTCTTCTTCTTGTGTGTTATTCCTGATCTTCTGCTCTGCTGCTACGCCGTCAGTGGATTAGCGGTGCTGGGTACGGGTGATAGGGGTTGCGAAACGCACGGGGAAGTCGTAACCGGCACTGCCCTCGTTGTGGTCACCAACTGACCAAAGCCAAAGGGATGGGCACTGACGTCGGCTCAGCGTGTAGGACGCGCTGTGTTCACGAGGCGAATTGTTGGTTGGTAGAATATCTGCAATTGCCTGACTCGATAATAAATCAAGCTGTTCGCTGTTAGTCGCAGGTGATGGTGAGAAGTCAAGTACAAACGACGTTGCCCCCCGTCGCCTCCCCCTCGCTCCTCACCGCACTAGCGGCTGTCCCCGTTACCCAATTCAGGGTCACCGGAGCTTCAGTCAATCCCGGTCACCTAACCTAGCATGGAGCATCTCCTGACGTCAATAACCTAGGATAAAATAATAATAATTCAATTCGTTGATATTCATCGCTAACCAAAATTCAAACAATATCCAATACTGCCATTAGTACTCTTGAGGCTGACGAACCTCTTTCCTTCTAAGCCTACTATTCAACCCTGAGAAACCGCCCGATCTCCCCGTCCCTTCTTTCGCTGCCAACGGCACCGCCGGTTCCCATCATACAGTCCAAGCCGTTTCGGCAGTTGATGGAATAAACTGCGCAGATTTGCCGCCCATTTGATATAGGTCTATCAACCCTGTTTGTCAGCAAGTACATATTGAAATATATCGACGGAATGCCCGGCGTCCGTGCTGCCCCGATAGAACCGCCTAGCCCATGGCCAGGCCTACTTCTATGCAGACGAGAGATCCGCCATCTCCAGCTCGCGTGAATCTCCAGTACTGCCTACCAGCTGCGCAGATGCAAAAAGCTTTGTAAGTGCAATAGAGTATGGCCTGGCCTCTTCATCAGCTGGAAACTCACTCCCCGACAAGGGGGCCAACCCTTGGTCGGCTGGCCAAACACCGTCCAGCCTCAATCAGGAGCCACACACATTCCATATCTTCTCATCTCGGCCGTAATCTCTCGCATCTCTTTCCACCCGTCTTCTCCAGGGTCCAGATCTTGCACTCTCTCTTCTCTTCCAGTCTTCTGCTGGCACCCACCTCGTGTTACTGCACGTGTAGTAAAAAGTAGAGTATGACTCGGCCTTGCAAACGTCCGAGCTCAGCTGGCAACACGTGTCGCTTCTAGCGCCGGGTTTTTCCAGTCCCGCAGACGCTCAACGTACTGCGGCGCATGTGATAGGGATATCGTGCACGTAGGCCTCGGGAGTTGAACGTGCACGATGCGAGACCTTCCATATCATCATTCCCCGGCGCTGTACCAACTTTGTTGGCTTGTCGAGAAGGATCTCCACGGATTGAAAGGCCATGGAGAAAGAGCTCCTGTTTTAAGCTTTTTACCTCGCACATTTCCCTTGGCCGTTCCAATTGTGATCTCCACAAGCTCAATCCAACCTTGATGAAAACAGCAATGATATGCACCTTGGAAAGCTTCCTCAATGCCACGACTTGGAATTGACGCCCGTATCACTGCAGTTGTCTTGGCAGGCCTGGCGTTCTTCAGGCGATAGTTCACCGTCGGATTGAAGTTTGCAGACATCGTTCTTATCAGCTTGAATCACTCTCCTTGGTACTCAGACGTACCAGAGTACCGGTATCGCCTGTCGACTCAAGCAAGGTTCATCAACGATCCTCGGACATCATTCCACGGACCGGGGTTGGGCGACAAGACAGTCCCAACGACGTCAGCTCATGCGTATCCGTTGTGTCCGCAGTAACCTGCACAATGGAGTGTCTGCCTCGTAGCTGTGCTGCAGATCGCCGATCTCGCTCAAGACGATTGGGACAAGAACCCGCTGATCTGCGTCATAGCGCCGTCCTTCGGCGGCTGAGACGACGCGCGAGGATCTCGGCAACGTTTCCTCATCTATCTGTATACGGTCAGCAATAGAGGAAGCGTGAAACGTAGTCATATCGTTAAAGAGGGTTGGAAGCGATCATCTTTCGCAGCGAGGTCTTTCCATTTATAGGTTGGCGTTCTATCCAGCGACCGAATTGGTCCCATAGACCCGGGTACGGTATTATCGTGGCGCATCTCTCTCGGGTTAGGATCGATTATGATGGGAGAAGCAGACAAGTCCATCCGGCGCATTGACAGGCCTCGGAAGATTCCGTGAAGTGGGGCTCTAGAAAGAAAGCGAAATTCTAGTCCATGTCGATACCCCGCCCGTGATGCGAGCCATAATCTCCTCCTCATCGGACGCTGCGATCACGGCTACTCGTATCCCACATGCACATAGAAATCGCGAGAATAGAAGATGAGCGCACAGAACGCGTCCTGCTTTAGGCAACATCAGATAGCCAGGACAGATTACACACACTCTAATTGGACGCGCTTCTGACATCTCAACAACAATTTCCCCTAATAATCTTTCTGCTGCCTTCTTGATCTCTGTTGACGTTTGATGATCTAGAATGGGCCAAAGGATAAATTGAGCGAGGAACACGTGGGTCCGCATCAAGTTCCAGTCGGCGAACAAAAGAGAGTGATCGCGTTTCGGAGACAAAGGAGGGACCGTCACAGCGGTGCCGCATCGATCACGGCAAAGACGAGTATCCTAGGACGACAACAAGGGCAAGATCCTCGCCATCGTTGCGAGCAACACGCCACGAAGTTGTTTGCTACCACTCATAGAGACCGAGGGTTGGTGAGCGGAGATAAGGACGAGCAACTATATTCGGCTCCGAGACATGACATGAAATCCCTGTTTCTTCCAAACGCTTCTGACTTACCCATGACACAAATGGTGTGAGCTTAGACGGCGTACTCCAAGGAACACACAAATGATCGCATTATTTTGACTACTAGATGTAATGGTGCGATCTGCCCCCTTCCCCCCTCTGTTTGTCGGTCAAATTTGCAACAAAAACAAATCCTAGTCGTCATCAAAATAGTTTATGCTCGTCTCGGAGCCAGCCGAGAATCGATCATAAGAAGTTTCGCTTCTCGTTGTGGGCCCGGCCGCCACTCGCCGGCTTACCAAATTGTCTTGAGAGGCGACGAGATGTCCTCCGCTTCGTGCTTAAGCTCATTAGTAGACTTGTGACTCATGCATGCCCTTATAGTATACAAGATAGACATATAACGAACAATGACATATCAACCATGCTTCGACAGATACTGCTCCACCTGTTCCACCAACTCCGCCTTCCTTTTTCCACTCGGCACGATATCTCTGCCTCTCAAGAAGCCTGTCAGTTGGACGACAGTAAGCTTGTTAATCTGTCCACTGCTGTGTTTCGCGCGAACTTCTGCTTCGTCAACTGTTGTATCCTGTTTGACCGTCAATTGCATTTCTCTTTGGGTAGAAACAGGGACGGACCGCTTGTCGCTTAGCGCCCGTTGCAACAGCCACGACACCTGCGCTTCGCTTATCGGCATCAACCGAATCCTTGAATTGCTCAATGAGCTTGCCGGCGCGCTGAAGTTTCAGGTTAGTACTGCTATCACGTCAACCAGGAGTGATGTCGCACCTTTTGAATCGACGCATAATTCGGTACAGTCAAATCCTCAAACTCGCTCGGATCAAACGCTTCATTAAATGCCGCGGCCTCCAAGTTCTTGTAATGCAGCCTGAGGGTCGGGTTAGGGTAGTTATCCGCGTCGTATCCTGCGCGGATCGTGAGCTTGTTGATCCAAGCCAATGCGGCGTCTTTCTCATGTTCGGTGCATTGCATCAGCTGATCGTAGGCCGACTCGCGAATATCGTCCGCGAAGGGGAAAGGGATCATATGTAGTCCTGGGGGAAGGAGTTGGGCACCAGTGTCAGAGTCCAGCTCCTCTTGTCGCGGAAGGAGAGCGACGAATTGCGGGGTGTAGCCACGTCGTGTGACCGAGAGCGCTATGCCAATCTTGTCTTTCTTGATGAGGGATTGTAGCAGGGCGGCAAAGGTGCGTGTGCTCCCTGTGTAGTCCTACATGCGTGGATAAGCAAATTTTCCGGGCTGGAAAGCGAATGAACGTACATCTTCTGATGGATAGATAAACACTGAATGTTTCACATTATCAAAGAATGTGAGCTCCCCGCGATCCTTGAACCCGAGCAGCTTGATGCTCGGCTCGAGGACCATGCTCCTCAGCTCCTTCATCCTCTCCGGGGTAAACAACACTTCGTGTCGCGTGACCGCAGGCACGCCTTCTACGACAAGTATATTTCCCCGCCGACCGCGCATCTTTGGCTTCTTCTCTTCGGTCTCGTCCACCTCCATGGGCTCGTCTTGCTGCTCGTCACCCCAGGTCTTGCCGAAGGGTAACGCGTATCGAATGTCAGTTTTGGGGACTTCACCTTGGTCATCCTGTCACGACCAGGTCAGCGAAAGGTGATCTAACGAGTGGAAAGGGTAGTTGACACGCCTTGTCAATATAGGTTGTCTTGACGGTTGCTTCCTTCAGCATCCCATCCCGATCCGCAAGATACTTATATTGTCCCTTGCTCTGCACAGTCACGAGCCCATACCTATTCCGGTCATCAGCAGTCACGTGAATGTCGAAAAGTGACACGTACCCCTTGATATCAATAGTGATCCCCTCGGCCAAGATGAGAGGGACGTGGAACAACGTTCTCCTCGGTATCTCCCTAACTTGCATCTCCCTCAGGAGCTCCTCAAATCCGGACACCAGGTCACCCTCGCCCGTGCTACTCCCGCCTTCCTCCCCTTCGCGCGAGAGCGCCTCTCTCCAGAATTTGCTCGGATCGAATGTGTGCTCTGGAGTGGATATAAAGAAAGGTATGATATTCCAACCCTTTTCGTACGTGTCGCCTGCGCGAGTGCGAGCAGATTGAAGGAGCTTGATACGTCGGTCTGCCGGCAGGCCAGCAGTGGGGTCGTCTTCATCGGTCAGAAGGAATATCCGATGTGTGCCGCTTTTCGGCGCTCCTGTACGTAGCATAGCGTTACACGCTGTGAGCATATCGCTGATGGGCATGTGTTCTGTACTCGGCTGGAAACGTTTTCTCAGGTAAGTCGGGTTCTTCTCTTGCTCTGCATTGGGGTCAGATGGTGAGAAAGATGGGAAAGGAAGACCGCACGAGCAAGTAGATGCATCTGCTCCTGTATGCTCTCGGCCGTGATGAGCCCCACCTCTTTATACACGTACATATGCCGATAGTCCCCTTGCTTTTCTGCCTACTCGTACTGTCAGCACATCATACAGAACGTGAAAAGGCAAAGGAGCGCACTGTGTCCCAGAAGACGATCCCGACTGAATCGTTCGGTCCGACGACGACCTTCCTCTTTTGCAGCTCGACGGTGCTTCGCAACGCAATCTCAAAACTTGTCCTGCCTCTCCCCTTTCCCTTCTCATCCTCATCTTCGCTCTTCAATAGCTCTTCTCGCACAGTGTGCATTGATTCACTGCATTGGATGGCAAGGATGATCGCATCCTTGGAGGTGGTCTCCCAGGCTGAGTAGTCCACCTCGATATCTTCAGCTGCGTCATCTAGCCGCCAGTCGGAGTAGTCGTTTGTCGCCATTGACAGAGGTGGTTTAGTTTGTAGTGTGCGCGACGGAGAGGAATATACATGCGTGACTGTAGATGCGCCTTGTTGTGTGTGACACAGGGACGCGACCAGTCACGCGTAGCTTGTGTTACATCAGCTGTATTCTAATTAATGCAAAGATGACTCGGATTGTTCTGTTCTTGCTATCCTGTGACTGTTGCATACTGTTGACTCACAAAGGCGGCGGCGGTCTGCCGAAGTGCAGGGATGTTGGAGCCATCGATATCTCCCATCTCCATCTATGAGTTTTACAGTCCTGCAGCAGAGGGACAATCCATCAATAAACTCGAATCAATACAACCACTTCCCATCTTCCGCAGTGACAAAACCTTTCAAGCCGGGACGCGTCCTCTCTTCTTCCTCCAAGAAGTCTCAATCGATATCAACGCACAACATTCTATGCCCGCGGACGAATAGCTCGACTTCAGCCATCGAAGGAGAAACAGAGCTGCGCCGGTGCAGGATCGGTTGTGTTGTGTCATACAAGGATGACGGTGCCGGCGAGGTAGCGCCGGTCGTTGGAGGGATATAATACGCGCATCCGGGCTTGGTTCATCTTCAGCAAATCATCAAATCAGCAAATCATAACTTTCACTCGAGCGAC